AAATATTTGTATTCATATTAATAATGTATTTTATAATTTAATTTAATTAATTAAATTTATTATTATTAATTTATTAAATTTTCATTCTTTTATAAGAATATTAATCATTTAATACTATTATATTAATCTAATAAATATAATTTAATAATTCATATATGAATTGATTGTTAATAAACATTAATTATCTAATTTATATGATTATTATATTAAATAATTTATTAATAATATTATAAATATAATAAATTTAAATTTATTTAAATATAATAATAAAGAATTTTATTATTAATTGAAAATATTAAATGAAAATTAAAAGTAGTTATAAAATTGTATGATTAATTGAAATTATTTTTAGATAATCAAAAATAATTTATATAGTTAGTTGAATCTATTTAATATAAATAATAATTAAATAAATATTTTATTTTGAAATGTTAATAATAAATAAGAAATAATAGTATTATTTGTAATTATATATTTATCATTTGTTTTATATATCGATATTTTATTATATTAAATTATATAATTTTAATTATTAGTGATGTTATCAATTTATAACAATAAGATGAAGTATAATATTGAAAAATATATTAATTAATTTATTTATCTATAATGATTAATTTTATAATTATAATTTCATTTATCATTAATTAGTTCATAATAATTTTTAATTTAATTAGTCTGTATATAATTGTAATTATTATATTTTGATTTAATATGATAATCAATTTTTAGATTGTATTTTATATTTAATAATATTAATTAATAAAATAAAAAAAAGAAAAATGGTCCCGGCGGGGAATTGATCGAACCCGCGACCCTCGCATTTCTCTTTTCTATAAGTACGATGCACTACCAACTGTGCTACGGGGCCTTCTTATTTTTTATTCTTATTATAACTATCTTACTTTTCTTTATTTTATTTATTTATTTTAATTTCTAATAATTTATTCTTAAAATTATTCTTGTTCTTATTATCCTTTCTTTATATTTTATTCTTTTATTTATTATTTACTCTTTAATTTTTTATTAGTATTTCATTGTTTTTTTCAAATTTATGATTTTTCTTTTTCTTTTATTATCTTTATTTATATTATAGTTACCATAGCTATTGAGTAATGTAATAGAGTTTTGTAAAGAAAATAAAACAAC